TAATGGAAAGAATATATTGTAACAAGCTAAATCTCTGTTTTGGTTAGGGGTCAAAATGATAATGATGCGAAGGTTTGACCAAGGTAGGGAGGGCGGCTAAATAGGTCATACGGGTTTGGATTTGGTGGAGTTGGAAAGTTTTAAATTTAGTATTTTTGTAGATGTAAACCTATCATCTAGGTTACTGTGTACGTTCCTGTGCTGGGAATGCGGGATGGGACCCCCCCTTATGAGAGGCGGCGGAGCTGGCTGGAGTTACCTGAACATCTCCCAGCGGCGTAAAAGGGTCACGTAACAGAGTACAACGCCTTGTATACGGCGGTAGGGTTGGATATAGAATTTGTACAAAGCTTTTTGTATGAAAAACAATGTTTTCGCAGTTTTGTTCTAAATATTGGGTACGACAGAATGATTATAGATAAAGTGCTGACTTTTTGTATGTATAACAGCTATAACAAATTGAATATAATACATATAGTTTATATATGAAAAGGTAGAGACAGATATCCGAATTTTAGTATTTATCTGTAACTATGACAAATAAAATGTTTCTAATATTTCTACCACAACAGTACTGTTATTTATTTCAAATGATGTTTCCAACCCCACTGCAGCGAATTCTGATGTAAGGAATACGGATTTTGTAACACACAGCATTAAAAATACTAAGGTCTGCAATCTTCCCTATAAATGATGTGCTGTATAAAATGTTCTATTACAAATACGTACTATAATGGTACACAAGTACTAAAACGTACTACATTAGTATTAAATTACCGAAAGGAAATCAGAAAATATAAAAATAGAATAAGAAAAAAATCTGTTTTGAAACCGGATAATATGGTGTGTGATAAATGAAAATAAGTAAATTGTTCTCGATATATAGTAGGATTTGAGTACCAATGCTTCTAAGCCTATGTTCGCAAGGAAATGCGGACTAAATCTAAGATTTTCTTAAAAAAAACATAATCTATAGGATCTGAGCTATCATTATTCAACGTTTTCTGATTTATACTGGATCCAAAGGTATCGAGATTATTAAAAAAAACCAGTGAGCGGAGCAGTATAGTCGGACGGGGCCGACCATACGATACCCTACACAACTACCATGGAACTCAAATTTTCTGCGGATGTTTATTCCGAGCCTGGGCAATATTTCGTGATATTTGCACCCTCTTACCCGATTAGAGGTAAACAGCACCTCTTCCTTATACAGACATATTCTCCGAATATTGTGAGTATTCAGTACAGCTATTGTCCAGATTCCCTTCACCGTGGGTTGTGTTGTGATGTTCGGCTTTCATTTGTGGTCTATAGATCGACTCGAAAATAACACAAAAAATTAAGTTTTCGGTCCACTTCATTCCAAAATTATTATCTGGTCATCACAGAAAATTATAGGCGTTGTCCTTGACCATAAGTGGAACCTCATGGAACATTTCAAAGCGATCAGCGCTATAGTTCCCCTCTGTAGAGTGATAATGGGTTACTAAATAATATACGAATACGGAGATATCTGTAAATTTTTAGGTGTAACTTCCACATCCGAGCACATACAACAATATAATTGGTATTAATTTAAAGGTCTCTTGGATATAATATAAACTTTTCGGGTCTATGTTCTTCAGGGGTAAATATATACGCTATAGAATACAAATTTTGTGACTTTTCACACAAAAGTCAGTGTCCATTTGACCCGCTAAATATTGACCGATCTTTATGCTTATTCTTTGGCCTGATCCCCTTCTCCATGGAAAATTTCACGATGTTCTGGCCATTATTGCGGCCTCTGGAGCAACCAGAAAAACGGACAAAAATTTAGTATTTGGTATTTCATCTCCTAAATATTAACCGATCTTTCCCAAAAACAATAGGGGTCTTCATTGGCCAGAACCCATCCTACATGCAAACTTTCGTGAAGATTGGTCCATAACTGTGGCCTGTATCGTGTTTACAAATTATAATGGACAGACGGACGGACGGACACACATGTCTAGTTCGACTTAGCTAGTCGAGATATGAGATCGGTATACTTAAAGGTGGGTCTAGGACCAATATTTCGCGGCGTTACAAATTTTTGGGGCTGCACAAAGCTATAATACCCTGACAACATAGTTGTGTAGGGTATAAAAATTAAGTGTGACATGGATCATTGTTAGTACATACTACGAAATGTATAAATCTATATTAAATTATATTGTGCTGCTAAATCAACGTAGCGGGCATATGCTAGTATTTTATAAATGATCAAATATCAGAAATGAAATATTGTTTTTATTTTCAAAAATTGTTGTGATTTTTTTTAATTCTCTTAATATATTCAATTGTTTTGGTATTGTTATCGCGTCATAGACGTATTCTTATATCTGCTCAAACAAGTTACAGGTTTCTGTAGAGGGCAGTGCACTTGAAATGGCAAAAATTCCAGAAAAAAAAACTAGAACAATCTAAACGATTTCGATTTAAATCTGACTTTATTAAACTTAAACAAAGATATTTTATTTCGAAATTTAGAAAGTGATTGTTGAACTTAAGCTAAGTATGGAAGACATATGACGATGTGCACAATATAGACTCAATCCATATAAGAAAACATATATGGGAGTTATATATAAATGTGAACCGATTTTCACGAAACTTAACACACATCATTCTAGACCTAATTAATTACGCTTTGCCAAATTTCGTGCAAATCGAGAGATATATAGGGACTTTGGTGCATCATTTACATTAAATCTAACGAAAAAATATATATGAGAGCTATATTTAATCTGAACCGATTTTCACCAAACTCAGCACGCATCATTCTGCACTTAAGGCAGGGACTTTGGTGCACCATTTACCTAAAATCGGACGAAACTATATATGGGAGCTATATCTAAATCTGAACCGATTTTGACGAAACTTAGCACCCATCATTCTATAATTAAGGGAACCCCACCCATTCTCGATTCTAATTTTTCAAGATTTTTAATTAGCTGATAAATCAATACCAATGCTTGTTATGGTTTGTAACTTTGCACATATATATTTGAAGATTTAAAAGAGAAGAAAAATAATTTACAAAAAAAATTTTGTTATTGCTTTGTTGTTGTTTTTTGTAATTAAAGAAAAGTCCTTATTTTTTATGGCGGTCATGATAACTCCTCGCTAAAACATCGGAATCCGAAAATTCCAACGGTGTTAGAAAGAGTACATGTCTGGCTCTCGTATGAACCAGGATTATTGACTTCGCTCGAAAATTAACAAAATGGCGGACCTTTGAAAAAATATTTTTGGAAAATCGCCGATTTTTGACCAAAACCCAAGTTACAAAATAAGGAAGATCTTCACCGATTGGCTTTATCCTAGTTCATACGATAGCTATACACTCACAGAGAAACGTGTAAAAATTTGGAATCGATTGGGTTATTACTTTTTGAGATATCGTGCCCGCCATTCACAAAAGAGAAAACCGCGTTTAAAGTTTGAGAAGCCCTTTAGCCGTCACTTGATGCTGACACAATAAATCGGCTATATCTTCAAGAGTTCTTGAGATTTTCACTTGAAATTTTGTAGGGACATTCTTGAATTAGTGTAGATTCGAATTAAATCAAAAAAATGTTTGACCCCGAGAATGGGGGGTCCCCTTAATTGAATACGATATGCTAAATTTCGTGCAAATCGAAAGATATATAGGGAATTTGGTGGACAATTTACATTAAATCGGACGAAAATATATATGGGAGCTATATCTATATCTGAACCGATTTTCAGGAAACTTACACACATCATTCTATACTTCATTCATTACGCTGTGCCAAATTTCATGCAAATCGAAAGATATATAGGGATTTTGGTGCACCATTTACATAAAATCGGACGAAACTGTATATGGGGGCTATATCTAAATCTGAACCGATTTTCATGAAACTCAGCACACATCATTCTATACTTCATTCATTACGCTGTGTTCAAATTTCCATTTACATTAAATCGGACGAAAATATATATGGGAGCTATATCTAAATCTGACATAATACCCTGTACCAAAGTGTGGTGAAAGGTATAAAAATACAGTGTGGAGCAATCATGGCTAATGACAAATAGGCCTTAAGCTACAGAAATTTGGTTTTATATTAATGCGCTGAAGCCAATTGTCGAATTACTTTCCCCACTTCGATTGAACCGCCTTCAAAACATGGCCTTTAACGCTTCAACAGCATTTTCTGTCGACGACTAACTTTTATTTGATGTGTGGGAATCAGGGCTAAGCGGCGGTTGACCCATAAATTCGCTAGTCGCTAGGTGAGAGTCGATCTGTAAGAGGTCGCATTAGCCATTGTGCATAATGATTCATCTTCTCTATTACGAACACTTGAAACAAATATATTATGGTGTGCCACTTAGAATTGACCTCCAGCCATTTTCTTTAAAGTGCTTCTTCCACGAACATCTTTCATTGAATTTGGATCGTCTTCATCTAGTCTGCATTGTTTCGGGATTGTAAGCATATATCCATGATTCAACAAATGTAAAAATCTCCTAAACGTCTTTCGAAGCACTGCGATCGTATTATTTCCAAATTTCATCTCAGTTGGGCAGCAAACAACGTGTAGTCGGACCCACCCATGCATGGATAGACAAATAGACGAACAGACTTTCATAAATCGACCCAGAAAGTTATAATATTTTTATCCTCAAAAGTATGTATTGGTCTATCCTGCTTCGTTCTGCATGCTACATACGTAGGGAATTTTCCATACAAGTCTATATATTCACAGTCCATTACTTACTTTAAACCACATTTTTAACAAATTGTCTGTAACTGGCATTTCGTTTTCGCAATATTTGTCTATTTTATATATTGGTCTATATTAATGTCCATATTTTAGACTTGGCTCTTATAAGCAACAAATCAAGTCTAAAAAATTAAATATACATTATCCATATCAGTTTAATTTATTCAATTTTATAAAATTTTGTAGTTAAAAAAATATTATACACACAAACTTCTGAATCTATTTTCCATATCCGAAGGAACCCGAACCGGCATATGCGTATGATTTCGAGAAGGATCCACCAAATCCTCCAGGACGGCCATAACCGAATCCAGGACCTCCAAAACCTCCGTAACCACGTCTTCCATATCCACGAGGTTGACGTGTTAGTTCGGCCTTTTCCTTCAATCCTGCGTCAACAGCCAAATCCGCATCGACACTAGTCAATGTTTCGGGAGTGTCTATGGGCAAAGGATTGCCATAAACGACACACACCCAAGCCAATACAAACAGCACAACGAAATATTTCATATTTTTCTTTTCAATAAAACTTCAAAATACTCAATAAATCACAAAGATTATTGTAATGCAACTAATAGTAAATTTTGGTAAAATGTTACTTTTATATCCATTGCAGAGATGCTACTGACATTATAATTTAGTAAAAAGAAAAAAACTAAAAATGTACTCCCCCGAAATCAATTTTTTTGCCTTTTTTAAATTCCTTGCCGAAATTAATAAGTCTTTGGTCGGTTGGTATTCATTAATAACTACGAACATCTACAATTATTAGTTTTTATATTTGAGTAAACAAATGCAGATTTTTTTGTTAACTTAATTAATTTTTGTAGATATATTATTCACTTTAAAGTCATTAAACTTCTGTTTTGATGGAATCCTCGTGGAAGGAATTTTTTACAAAAGTTTATTTTTTGTTCATCATAAACTAATCAATCATACTTACTATCTTTATTTTATTAAAACCTTCTGTCAATACCATAAAAATACTGAAAATTGGTTGATATTATTATATTAGGATATACCAAGAATGATCCAAACTGTACACATGGTAACATTTCTTTCAAACTCACAAAATGGTCAAAATTGTGCTGAAAATTCATGTAAACTATGAACCGATGCACCAAAAATTGCTAGAATTAGTAGAAAACAGTAAATAATTCTCAAAATAAATAAATATTTGAAATAAAAAGTCAAAAAATGGGAATTAACCTAAAGGAACGATTACATTTCGATAGCCTTTATTGAAGAAGGCCGGAATAATTTAGCAGTATGTGAGTAAATATCGATTGATATTGGTATTTATTATATCAAATTGATTGTTCGAGTAGTACAGAATATATTTTATCAAAAAATATATCAGTCATAACAGAACAAAAAGAGACCAAGGCCTATGCTAACGAGTAAAAGTTTTTTTAAATATTTTCCAAAAAAAAAATAGTAAAATAAAACATTACACAATGTTTTAATTATGTGGCCACCTCAGAGTCGATGTTTTTTCATAAAAACAACAATCCTTGCATGGATTGTAAGGTCCCTGAATTCTCACAGCATATCTTGAAGTTATTTAGAATTAAAGAATATATTTAATAACAAATATGTAAGTTGTAAACTACAATATTATCTATATATAACAAATTATGGATATAAGTTGAAAGAATTAAATTAAACAAGTGAAAAAGCGTTAAGTTCGGCCGGGCCGAACTTTGGATACCCTCCACAAAAATATAGGGAAAATACCAAAAAGTTGACCTATATCGACATTTCCACAAACCGGTTATGTAAACCACAATGTAAACTATAAAAAAATTTCAGAAATTTTTAATGGACAATTATACCCTCAGCTTTATGGATAATGAGGGTGTATACACTTTGACACGGTTAAAATGGTTATAGACCCCATGTTTCTTTGGACCAAATTTATTCCAGAAAATATTGATTTCATCCAAACTTTGGCCATCTTATTATTTATTCCAAACTTAGTTCAAGTTCGAAGATGGGGAATATCGGTCCACTCTTTCTGGTACCTCCCACACAGGGGCTAGGTCTATATACGGGTTATAGTTCATATATAGTTCATTATCGAACCTTACGTTCTAGTTTTTTATCTCGATATCCTCTGCAGGTGATATGATTACAACAGAATCTTAGAACCAAACCCAAAACTCGGAACAAATTACATAACTATTTTAATATAAACAAGTGAAAAAGCGTTAAGTTCGGCCGGGCCGAACTTTGATACCCTCCACCATAGATGTACTAAAAGGTAATTGAAATGAAAATGTAGGGAAAATACCAAAACCATAATGTGAACCATGTTCCAGAAAATGTTGATTTCATCCAACCTGTGCCAATCTTATTATTCTTCCAAACTTAGTTCAGGTTCGAAAATGTGGACTATCGGTTCACTCCATCTGATACCTCCCACACAGGTGCTAGGCCTAAATGCGGGTTATAGTTCATGTATAGTTCATTATCGAACCTTACGTTCTAACTTTATCTCGATATCCTCCGCGGGTTAAATGATTACGACAGACTCTTAGAACCAAACCCAAAACGCGGAACAAATTAGATAACTATTTTAATATAAAAAAGGGGGTTATATGGTGACTACCCCAAAAAGGGGGCGAATATAAATAATTTTTGGTAGGGAGATTTGTTACCATATACGACTACAAAATACCAAAATGCAGCGAATTCGGTTGAAAAACGCGCTCAAGAACCCAAAATACCGAAAATTTGGGGTACCCTTATATGGGGGCTATCCGAAAAAATTGACCTATATTTATAATTTTTTGTGGAGAGATTTTGTACCTATTAAGAACTCAAAATACTAAATTACAGCCTATTCGGTGGAAAAATACGATCAAAACCCCCAAAATACTGAAAATTAGAAGGTGCCGTTATATGGGGGCTACCAGAAAAAGTGGATCTATACTCATAATTTTTTGTGGAGAAACTTAGTACCCAATAAAAACCCAACGTATCAAATTTCAGCGAATTCACTTGAAAAACGCGCTCAAGAACCCCAAAATACCGAAAATTTGGGGGTACCCTTATATGGGAGCTATGCTTAAACGTGGACCGATCATCTTCGAACTTGACCTGCCTGCAGACAAAGACAACCCTATGCAAAATTTCAGCACCCTATCTAAATTCTTTCGGAAGATAGCGTGATTACAACAGACGGACATGGCTAGATCGTCTTAGAATTTTACCCTGATCAAGAATATATATGGGCAATATTGCCAATTTTTTAACATAGCTGAAGCGGAGGTTCACCCCTTTATAACACGGGAACTACTTAAGTATATTAAAAAAAGTGAATATTTTTGGGTTAATTGATCTGTCGTTGCAAACTGTTCATGATATTGACCTCCAAACTTTATTTTGGTGGAAGCTGTGTCTACTTGTGTGTAAAAAGAGGTTGAGGCGAACCAGTTTTTTATGTTCTCTATCGATTTGTGACTAAGCCACTCATTGCACGGTCTTCGTGTCAAAATAAAACTAGAAGCCAACAAAATGGGGACTACGCCCCTTATGTATCATTTTTCAAAATTTTAACTGCATCTACCTTTAAATGATGCTGACATTTTGAAGCTCGATTTTAAGTGTTTTTTGAATTTTACTTCTAGCTTTAATACGCAAACACGAATTTATAAAAATCGATTATAAGATTATTGTAGTCGCGAATCTGCGTAATTTGATATGTATTTCGTGTATGTAGTATACACAGCTTCAGATTAATACTCATCCGAAGGTGCGAATTTTGTGCGATCAAATTTCTAAAAAACCTATTTTTCGGTCCAAAATTTTAAATCTGTCAACTAAATGATATGGGTACCCGCCATCAATAAGGTTTTTTACGTTTCGGATGATATAAAATCTTCTTCGTGAAAATCCATCTACTAGAACGGCGGGAACTGGCCTTCCAAAAACACGAAATTTGGAAAAAAAATGTTTTTGAAAATATCGCGGATTTATTTGCGTTTTCTGTGTATCATTTCCACTTCAATAAATGACCTCATACGGATTTTGATCTTTTTCGAAAAGAGAACTTTAAAAACTTCAGCCGAAAGAGAGATGTACGCAATTTATCTCAAAAATAGATTTTGCTGGCACATCCATGGTTCTTAATGGACCACATTGAAATGGTATATATCGATGTATTTTTTTAGGGTACACACCGAAATCGGATGCGCGTTAATGGCATATGGAGTTTTCGGAAATTATTAGCGTTTTACGATTTTTTGGGTACTTCAATGTAACGTGTGGCACATCTTAGCCGTCAAATAAAATTTCGCAAGATATATATGGATTGGAAGATAAACTTCAGTACTTCCTGGAAACCGCATGCGCATCAAATGATTTTGAGAATTACGCGATTTACACGCAATTTAAAATGTATATTTCATAATATTATTTTTTTTAAGATTTATTCCTATTTATAGATTTATCGGAAGTGTCTTGATATAATCCGCAAGGTGTATACTTATACACAAAAAGTGATTATTATTATATATGTCAATTTTTCGGCGAAATTCGGGTAAAATAGCAGAAATCTTCTTGTATACAATTAAAAAAATAAATATGATGACATTATTTTTTCGAACCAAAAACAAATATTTTTCCTCAATATTTTGTTTTGTTGTCGCTGTGATTTAGAAACCGCTACACGGACTTGTGTAATTTTGATATCATTGTGATTCATCATGGTGTTTAGATTATGTAGATATTTTTAAATTAATTTTTAGGTGTGTGTATGTCATTAATATAATGAAAATATTGATGTAACCTGCTATATTTTTTCTATTTTTTTTTTTTCAAATTTCGCGAATATGTGCAACTTTATCGTGATTATTATAATATGTTCATATTCTTTTTTTACGGAGGAAGATCTATATCAACGTTGGTCAATATAATAAACGGCGTAATTTTAAGATTTTTTTCTTATGCCCAAAATTAAAACCTCGATAACTTTTTCGCGCATCAACCAAAAATTTGATCGCGAACGGTTTCGGAGTCAGAACATTTTTCTCAATATGTGTACCAAAAATCATTGATGTGCCACAAAAACAAAAAAAGCTGATTTTTTGAAAATGGAATATTAAAAAATTGGCAATATTGCCCATATATACTTTATAGGGTCGGAAATGAACATTTCGGTGAGTTACAAATGGAATGACAAAAATGAAAAGTTTGCAATGTCAGCATTATTTAAACAGATCAAATAAATCCAAAAATCTTCAATTTTTCTCATTTACTTTAATAATTTCCGAGTAATAATTGGGTGAACCTCGGCTTCAACTATTTTAAACCAGTAAGGAAAGTAGTAAAGTCGGACAAGGCCGACTATATGATACTCTTCACCACTTTGGGTATATTCAACAGTTGAATCCTAACAGACGTCGCCAAATTTCGTGCAAACCGAAAGATATTAAACATATATGGGAGTTATATCTAAATGTGAACCGATTTTCACGAAACTTAACACACATCATTCTAGACCTAAT